TTGGATTGATTCGAAACAGCTATTAAAGAAGGTTGTGGTTTGTATCGGATTGCAACATTGAACGGTTAAATTAAGATACTCCTCTAAATTTTACAATGAGATGAAGGTTTGGTGTAAAAAAATTTTAGGATGGCCTCTGAGAATTGAATTTTATCTCTAAGTGTAAAATTGTGAATTCCAAAAATAGATCAAATCAAGTAGATTAATTAACACATGGAAATCTCGAAAATGGACGGTCCAGATAATATTTTGCAAGATGCATTATTTTTGGGATACAAATTTTTTTTTTTTATTCCCTACATCTAGATATTGAGAAGATCAATTAGAAGATTTTTCAGCATTAAAACACACTGTCCCTATGGATTTTTCAGGTTTACCTTAATTCTTAAAATAGGTTTTTTTTTTTTTTTTTAAAAAAAAAGGCTTATGAGGTGGGCATTTAAAGGAGACCCAAGAAAAATCTAAGAGAAATTTTTAAAAAAATAATAATACAGTAGAGTTCTTGGGGATTGATGCCAAGACTCACGCCTTTTTTAAAACCAGTTCAGCTCCAGCGAGCTCCCAGTTCATATCAGCTGTTCCGGATCCGGAATTCAAACGCTCATTCGCACGTTTTTCTTTCCAAAGGCGGTCGGATTCTGGCTCTGACTTTTGTTTGGGGCAAGGCAAAAAGAAGACAAGAAAAAGGGATTTCTGAGACGCCGCATCCTCAAACTGGAAGTGTGGCCCACAAGCCGCCCTAATCAAATCGAGACCGTACCGATTGTAATACGTGACCCGCTGATGTGATACGCCACGTGTACTTGGCCTTTCTTGGTTGGGTCACCACAATATTTCGGCGAAATTTTACAACTCTCAGTAGCGATGAAATGCAGCGTCTGCATGCGAACATTCAAGGCTTCTAATAAGGACGCGGTTTCTAATAATAGCAACGCTCCCTTGTTGGCATCCATCCTATTTAATTTGATTCAAATTCCAGGAGCTCTATTGTCAATCCATCATAGTACCCATTAGAAATCTGAGTATTTCACATTCATTTATAACTTCTTAACTCAAGTTTGTGTTTTTTTCTTTTAAAAAAAATTATAATTTTTTTTTAGAACAAAGAGGTCACAATGACTCTATTATCTATCAAAATTCAAATACGGTAGTTCTAAGAGTTTTAGTGATTAGACTTAAAGTCCAAAAAAATTTATCAAACTTTAGAACAATTGTTTCATGCTGGGCTGGACCGCGTTTGTACAATATGCGGTCTAAAGGTATAAAGCATCCATCTTAAAGATGGATGGAAATAGGTGGTCCATCAAAAACAATTGTAAATGGGTCCAAATGTTATCTTAATATAATTATTATTTTTAATTTTCAAATTTAATTTATTTTTTCATATTCATGAAATCCATGTTAAAGATTATATATTCTCTACAAATTAAGATCGAATTATATTTAAAAATAAATTTATTGCTAAGACCGCATTTGTACATGTGCAGGCTTGGCCACATGCTAGCTTCCCAAACTTTATGACACCCCAAGCTATTTAATTTGACATTTAATGGGTACAAGTAGTTGTGAGCTTTTGTAACACATATAAATGGTCTCATAGTATATAATCCCTTCTCTCTTTTTTTCGATGCAGTTTATATAAGGCTGAGGCTTAAACAATCAAAGTAAGGTGTACCTTTAAATAGTGTCGAGAAATGTGATTTCAATACTTAAAATTTTTGTGATAGCCTTGACATTTATTTTTATCTAATTATAAAATTTAAAGAATAAAAAATAGTATAAATACAGCAGATCTTTGAAAACTTGAAAATCTTGAAAAATAACTGTCAAAAAATGCATTACAAGATGCATTATTTTCAAAACTTGAAATCATTTTTTTTCAATATCCATGCATCTTGAGGTTGAGATGATCAATTTGAAGATTTTGTAGCATCAAAACAACCTCTTGCAGTGAAAATTTTGATGTGAGCCTTAATTTGATTGTTTAGAGCCTCGCACTTGTATAAAACCTTTTCCCTTTTTTATTAACAATTTGAATTTGAATGGAACTATAAGTACGTGTTCATCTCTTGCTTGCAATTTGATAAATTTCCCAAAAGAAAATGCTGATGCCTTAATTTACGAGGGACAAGGGACAAATTGGAAACACGGAAAAAGAGAGGGCCACTCGAATTCCCATCTTCCACCGTTGCGTTAGAGAGAGGTACGTAGGTGTTTTTGTTGGGTGAGTGACTATGAAATTGGAAATGATTTCTAGCACAAAAAATTGGTGTGGTTTGTATAAAATATGAATTCTAAATAAATAAAATAAAATACACTTCTAAATCTTGCTAAAAGATGTAGTTCAAGTGTCGAAAATCCTTATGTTTGCTTAAAAATCTATTTTCATGCTTGATCATGCTTCAAAAATTGTGTAGATTGAATAAATACTCACAAAAATTGAAAATAGATTGTCCAGATGATGTGTTCTATATCTCAAAATCAAGATATTAATTATTAAATTTGTTGTCATCAAAATGACCTAAGTTGTTTCACTTTATTTGATGTAACTGCATACATAAGTTTATCTATTTGAAAATCAGTAGGCTTGACAGATTTCAAAGAGAACTTCGGATTTCGAGAATAAGAAATTTAATAAAATTTGGATTTTCAAAATCCAAAGTTTTTTTCAAAATACTTTTAATTCTCAAATCCAAAGTTATCTTCAGAAAACTTTGGATTCTTGAAATCTAAAGTTCTCTTTACAAAGCTTGGCTTATAGTAAACCTTAAACCATTATCCCATTGTAGTATTACAAAATGCTAAACTTCAAAAGTCAAAATCCGAAAGAGGGATAGCAGTGTTATTTTTTTAAAAAAAAAGATAAAAAATTAGATATGAAGAATTTTGCCGAAATATTCATCATAATCTCAGTTCGACGTGAGAGCTCGAAGTCAAGCAATTGAGTGGGCCCAGCTTTAACCACTGTCGTCGTGAGATGAGGAAAGAGCCCCGGCTAACACCATCAATCTCTCTTTTACCCTCTCATATTTCAGACCTTTTCGTAAATTTTTGTTCAGGATGGTCAAATTATTGCACCTTTTTGTTAGACCAGAAGCAACAATCATAGTTTATCTTCATTTAATAAAATATTTTGAGTTTATATTTTTAAGTTGATTGGACGCTAATGAGATTTTGAAGGTATTTGAGTCAAGTGCGCCTATAATATATATTTAAAAAAGATCTCGTTAAAAAATTAATTGATCAAGTTGCTATTAAAATATTTAAAAATGTATTTTCCCATATATTTTTTATAATTTATTTGCTATATGTTTTTAGGGGAGCAGAAGGGTGGATATGCTCAAAGTTTCAAAGTAATCTAAATTATAAAATTTAAAATAAATATTTTTATAAAATTCTTATAAATATCTTTTACATTTCACTGAATTCAAAAAAGTAAAAAATTATATAAGGCTTCAACCTTAAAAGTGAGGCCCACGTCAAAAACCTCCAATGCTTAAAATGCCTACCAATTGATCATTTCCATTCCGAGACATTGGATATGAGAAAAAGAAATAAAAAATAAAAAAAGCGTCAAGTATTAAAAATAATGCCTCTTTCAACATATTATCTGGCCCATTCAGTTTAAGCTTTTTAAGAATGGGAAAAAATTTATATAAAGTTGTAACATTAAATTGTAGAATTAAGGTACAACTAAAAAGTCCATGCTCTAAAGTTGAAAAACCTTTTAATTGATCATCTCGACATTGAGATTTATGAATATGAAAATATAAAGATTTTGAGTTCCAAAAATAGTGCTTGCAACAAATTATTTAGACTGTATATTTTTTAGATTTTCATGTGTTTATAGATCTATTTGACTTGAACTATTTTTGAAGTATAAAATTTTATAATTTGATATGAAAATAGATTCTCATGCTAGCTCGAGAAATTTTGATACCAAATTACATCTTATAATAAAATTTGGTGCCGCACTTTGATTATTTATGTTTGTAACCTTAGCAAACCACACTCTTTTATGTATTTACAAATTTGTTCGACTTGTACCAATTTTTAAGCATTAAATTTCTTAATTAGTAGTGAAAATGGATTTTGAGGCCATCAAAACATTTTCTAATACAAAAACCTATATTTTCCAATAAAGATTAGAGGTGCCTTACTTTAATAATTTAATTTGGACACCATATACAGTAGAAGTTGTCCTCAATATTCCATCCTTTACGCAAAGGACATTTCTGTCAATTTTCCGCCACCCAAGTTGTTTACCTTGGACCACAAGAAATTGATGGTCATGACATAAAGAGGACACTCCGATTGTTTATTGTTTTGTCCTCAACACCACCCTATCATTTGTGTTTTTTTTTATTTTTTTTCAAAATGTATACAATTATACTATTTACTTTTGATTTAAGGATAAGACAATCATCATTAAACTTTAAATTTAAAATCTAGTGGTTGAGGATGGATTATTATCGATGCACAAAATCAAAAAGAAAATTTTTGAAATGTTGCTCGGCACTTTCATCTATTAGATTTCACATTCATTATGACATTCTTGTATTAAATTATAAGGAAAAAGTTTTATATAAAACCGATGCTCTAAACAATCAAAATAGAGCGAAGTTGTTTTGATGTCCAAATATCTTCAAATTGATCATCTCGACATCAAGATACATGTACATGAGAAAAAGAAAATGGATTCAAGTTTTGGAAATAGTGCATCTTCTAAAGCAATTTTTGACGGTCAATTTTTAAGATTTTCAAGTTTTTATAGATCTCGATCTGTATTATTCTTAAAATTTTTATAATTAATGATGAAAATATATTTGAAAGCTATCACAAAAAATTTCAATATTGAAACTACATTTTTTGACGGGCACTTTACTTTGAATGTCTAGAGCCTTGGAGCTATACAAACCGAGCCAAAAAATAAATAGTCAGGTACTATAGAATCATGTGTTTTTTTTCTCGCCAACAAAAAGCTTTCCTCACGCACGAACACCGAGGGCATTTCCGTCATTACTGTGAAAAATCCGCTCCAGGTTACCGGCTCCTCAGCTGACAAACCGGACAAATGACCAAAACGCCCCTCCAGTGTTGCGCCCCCCTCCCTCGTGGCCACCGCCACCTCGCGCCACCTGTTGGCCGCGCTCCCCCATCACATGCATCCCATGAGCCACCGGTGCCCAGCCCCGCCTATTAACGTGAACCCTCCCTTCACCACCACGACGCACCACCGTCGCCCGTCGCCATGGCCACGCACCCCGACGACTCCAAGGCCCTGGTGCCCTTCACGCCATGGCGTCCGCCTCCAACCCCCAGCGCCACCGGACTGGCCACGTGCGCCTCCGCTCAGCCCCGGGCGCGCCCCCTGAAGGAGGAGCTCTGGCCGAACACGGCGATCGACGCGCTGCTCGATCGCTTCGAGGAATACTGCTTCAACAGGCCGCAGGCCCAGTTGGGCAAGAAGCACTGGGATCGCATCGCCATGGAGGTTAACCGCATGTGCAGGACCGAGTACACGGGCATGCAGTGCAAATACAAGTGGCACCGCCTGAAGAAGACCTACGCCAAGGAGAAGCAGCGGGCGGGCCGCTCAAAGTGGGCCTTCTTCCCGCACGTTGAGTTGCTCGTCAACAAATCGTCGAGGGCTCACATGGGCGAGCCCAATGGGGACCCGGACGAGCACACCCCAGCGAGCCCACTGGTCCCCAAGACCGAGCCCGATGGGCCCGGTTTCGAGGGTGGTGGTAAGAGGAGGAGGGGCGTGGCTAGGGTTTTGGGGCAGGCGGTAGAGAAGGGCATCGGACGGGTGGCGGAGGTCGTGGGCGACTTAGAGAGGAAACGGACGGACGAGATGAGAAGGATTCTTGATGCGCAGTTACAAGTGGTCACGGCTATGTTTCAGGGCTTGAAGGAGGTACGTGTATCGTAGGTTTGTTAGCGTATGATACTGCGTGTTTGTTGTCTTCTTTCTTGTATCGATGCTCTGCGCGTGTATGGATTATGTATTTCTATGTTTTGTGTTTGGTTGTTTTTTTCCATGGCACTTATAAGTTATGGGTGGGTTATTTTTTTATTGTTTATTATTGTTTTTGGAGCTCTTTGTTGTTTTAGTTATTGTTTAGAGCTTTCTGACTTTTCTATTGCTGGTTTGTTCTTTTTTTATGTGTTTGTTAGCTGAGGATGCTTTCTTGTTGATTTCTTGAAGATTTCTAGTTCTTTACTTCTGTAGTTTATGTTGGTTCTCAGTTTTCCTTTTCCTTTTTTCTTTTCTTTTTTTTTTTTTAATTTTTTCTATTTTTTAATTTTTTTTAACCTTTAGTCTTGGGTAAATTTTGTTAGTAGCTTTTACTGTTTTATTTTAGGGTTTTATGTTTTACTGGTTTCGAGCTTTTCTTTCTTCTTGTTGATGTATTGGAGGTGTGGCTTGCATAAGGTTGCTAACCTTAAACAATAAAATTAAGGGGCAGCTCCAAACTTTGTCATGAGACGCAATTTTGTTATTGAAAATTCTTAGGATGGTGCAGGAATTATTTTTATCTCCAACTATAAGATTTTAAAGTCTAAAAATGTGCTATTTCAAATCAAGCAAATCTATAAACATATGAAAATCTTGAAAGTGGATGTCCTAGATAATGTGTTGCAAGATGTGCTATTTTGAGGACTTGAAATCACTCTGTATCGTTACATCTCGATGTCAAGATGATCAATTAGATATTTTCCAACATCAAAACAACCTTTTTTAAAGGATTTTAGATGTGCATCTTAATTCTCGAAGAGTTTCTCCTTTCTCAACTACAATATTTCTTGCTGCTAAACACTTGTAACCTTTTCTCCTGTATAATGATTTCACTTTATAAATATTTTTCTTTTTTATTGTTGATTATTTGAGTGTTTGTTTTGCAGGCTACTGATGGGGTTATTGTAACAGCTAATTTGAATCATGCTATGAAAGATCGGTTTCTTGAGAGTCTTAATTGCAATACTCTTGCTTATTTTTTAGCATTTTTAACCTTTTTTTTGCATAATGATTATTTAATGTTTTTTCCTTTTATTATTGATTAGTTGAGTGGTGGTGTTGCAGGTTAGAGAAGGGGCTAGTTTAGCACCTAGTTTGAACCATGCTATGAAAGATTGGGGTTTGAACCCACCTCAGAATGATTTATGCATGGGGAAGCTTTATCCTCCCATCAATTTTGGTATGGTGGATAAGCGGGTCTATAGGTCAGGGTTCCCAAATTGCCGGAATTTTGCCTTCCTTGAGACCCTTCATCTCAATTCCATTATGTGAGTTTGTTCTTCTTGGCTAGTCTCTTGATCTGTCACCATTTTTTGATATTCTTTTGGTCTGTCAAATGGTTTGGACTTTGACAATATTCCTATTTTTGTTTAGTTTACTATTTAAAAATATATTGGCTTTCTGGGTGCCAATTATCTAGTTTTTTAAATCATGAAGGACAATAGATATGTTTTGGAATGGAATGAGATTGCTATATGTTTTGCTTTGAGGAGGTTGAAATCTGAATTATTTCCAATTTCTGCATATTGATTTGGGTTAGATATAATTGGTAATTTTCGACGAAATTAACATTCTTCGCCATTTGTGGTTCACTTTTATTCTCATCACCACTTTCTTTCATTTCTTTTCTCTTTCTAATTTCTCTTTTGCCTGTATCAACTGCCACTGTTATGCATTTATCAGTTGTCTCTGCTCAGAGCCATACCCGGAAGCTAGCATAGAGTTTCTTTCAGCTCATGGCATCCGTCTCTTCCATATTGCTTCAGATTTCAAGGTAAATTTAATATGTTTCTCTGGGTAACTTTTATTTTTTGATTGTTTGAAATGATATTCAATAGATTCTTGCATGTAGTGTGCATTTAATAACCTAGTTTGTTGTTTAAATTTGCCACATAGATAGTCTTCAATGATATTTTTAAGGGTGAGGTTTGTATAAGGTGTCAACATTATACTATTGAAGTAAGGTGCACCTCAAAACTATGCCGAAAATGCAGCTTCGGTACCGCAAAGCCTTGCAATGATATGAAATCTATTATTGCCCCTAATTATGAAATTTAAAGTTCCAGAGATGGTGACAATCAAGCATATCTATATACATTTGAAAATAGATAGTTCAGATAATGTGTTAGAGGATTAACTATTTTTAGAAGTGGAAATGCCCTTTTTTTCTTGTCTATGAATCTTGAGGTCGAGATGATCGATTTGAGGTTTTTCGAGCATAAAAACAACCTTCTCCGGTGGGCTTGTTAGGTCCATTTTACTCATACAGTATAAGGTTGATCCCTTATATAAACTTTTTCCTATTTTTAAATTTGTGAAGGCTACTTGCTTAGGCTTTGTGCTGAAATCCCTGTTGCTACTATTGCTGGTTGTTATCTGAGCTCCAAGATATATCAGTTTTAGTTAAATTTCCTGCCAGTTTCTTGAATATTGGTTCATGGCAGTCATGAAGCAAGATTCCGGTATGGATAACGTTGGATTACGTTTTCATCCTTTGATAATCATGGAATGGTTGGTACTAGTTGGAACTATCTTGCATGGCCTAGCAAATATGAGTATGGTTTTGAATATGTTATGGTTTTGAATATGTTATATGCTCAATTGTCATCATTTGAAATGCATATCTATCCTTCTTCAACGTTTGTGCTATCATTGTTCATCACTGTCTCGCAAGATCTTTGATATCACAATGTCAGTGTGCTTGAGATCTTTGTTCTATTTCGTATGTTGGGCTTCCAGCATATTGTGACACCTCGAATCTATTGTAGACTGATTGGAAAACTCGAATCTACCGGCAAAAATATGGGAAAAGAAGATTCTCATTATTTTCAGTGTCAGATTCTCATGGCCTAATCTCGCCAGACCTCCTTAGGTTCATTCATAGGCTTACTGGACTTGCTTTTTGGCATATTCAGCCACTATAATCTCTACCTGCCATTGAATATGCTCAGTGTTGAAGATCTCGGCAAGTCCAACTTGGACTCACCCAAGTCAATTGGGCTCGGCAGCCTGCAACCCGCAAATCATATTGGTGGGTCTTATTGCCTTATTCTCCCAAGTCACTGTAGTAACTTGTGAGTTGTTAGAACTTAGAAACTAGGTGAGTTTGTGACAAATCAGGGCTAACTGAGTCTGATTGTAACAAGAAGGGTGGAGGAGGCAAAAACCAAACCCCCTTTTCTCATCTTTCCTCAACCAGGCATTGTTTTCATTTAAAAGATAGGTATTAGGTTTGTTGTTGCATCCTCTATCTCCTTTGAAGTTCAGATTCAAGAGAAAAACAAAAATTTGTCTAATGTGTAAGATCGTGATTTTCAAACTATGGTTTGGCTGAAGTTTGAAAACTTGCAATTTTTTTGTGACCCTATGTTAATCTTGGTTGAAATAAAACATTTTTAGAAAGGGAGAGAATATAATGAATTCATCGATATAATTATAATATTATTCATCAATAGTAATTAAAATTAACAAGGTAATTAATAATTAGTACTTATTATAAACATAATTGCTGTAAGTAATTAATAATATAGATTTTATATTAGATGTTAATCATTGAAACATATTGGATCTTGCAATAACATTTTCAATAAAACTTGATCTTAGAAAGGGAGAGAATATAGTGAATTCATCTCAATATTTGAGAAGAGAGGAAAACGAGTTAAATATATTATCTAGAACCTAGTTATTCACCAACAATAAAAATTAACCCAAATATAACATTCAATTAATAGTTGAATATAGATAATTAAAATTGAGATTAATTATTATTTTCATGAGGGTAATTGTCAAATACCCATAAGAGATGAAGTATCTAATATTTTGCCAAATCAAGACTGTGCTTTTTATGGGTATTTTGAAATTTAATAAAAAAGATATGGGTATAGTCTAAAGTGTTAAATTGTTCTTCTCTTGTGGATAGTTTGATAAATTTCACTTTTCATAAACAAGTGGCTAAGACATAATCATATGTTACAAATTAAAATAAAAATAATTTAAATCATCATTATCATCCAATCCTTATCTCAATTATTTGGGGTTAGCTACATGAATCATGTTCCTCCATTCTTCATGACACTGCCAAAAGAGAGAGAGAGAGAGAGAGAGATATGAGTTATAGAGAAGATTTAGAGAAAGAATGAGGGAAATAGAATGATTGACAAGAGAAGAGACGTTTCTCTTCATAAGAGCGTATAGAGAAAGAGAGATAAAGAGGTAGCATGTATGGTTTCCATAAATGAGGAAAAATATAGAAGGGAAAGGTTTCTATACTTTCCCTACAGCATAGAAGATCTATTGTTCCCCTACCATCCAGCCGTCCAATTTTGATCTTAGATTAGACGTCTCAAAGTATTTTATTTGTAGTTTTTTTTATACAAATTTTATGAATATAAAATTTGGTATGTGCAATCTTCTCATTGGGGCGCACCTATAAAAATATTAAAAATAATTTTTCAATAAAATATAATGACCAAAATACCCCTTAAAACTTCCAGGGGTATTTTGGTCATCTTATTATATTGAAAATATATTTTTTATAGTTTTCACTAGTGCGTTTAATAAATGATTGGACGTCCAAATTTGGTTTCAAAATAGTTTATAGAAAAAAAATTAAATATAAAATAGTGTAGAGACGTGACATTGTGATTGAGGCAATCTTAGCCCTCTATTCAGAATGGACGGTTGGATAAAGGGAAGTATATAAGTTTTATGCTGTAGGGGAAGCATAGAAAGCTTGCCCAATATAGAAATGGTATACATGTATCTCTCTTTGAGTAACTCCCCCAAATAAGAAGGAACCCAAATGATTTCCAATAATTAATGATAGGGAGAGGGACCAAAGTAGGAAAAGATAGGAAGATGGACCAAAATAAGAATAGAGAGAAACCCATGGGTGAAGTCTTTGGATAATATACCAAAATAGAAAAGAGAATTCAAATGTTTCCAATTGAGAGATGGAGAAACTGGCCAATATGGGAGAAGAGAGAAATTTATTAATGAAGGCTTTTAAGAGAATTAACATGAGAGATCTCAATAAACACAGAAACACGTGCCAAAATAAGTAGAGAGAGAAACCCATTGATGAAGGTTTTTAAGAAAACTTAAATCAAATGCATGATAAGGGGCATTTTTAAAAATATGAGGATGAAATGGGAAGAAACAAGAAAATAGGACAGATCTGGAAAATAAAAACACATGTATCGAGAGAATAAGCAAGTTCCTTCTCTCGCATAATATATAAAATAGATAAATCAAAGTTTCATTAATTTTCATTTTGTGTACAGCAATAACAATAATGCATACTTCCACTATGGATAGTTCTCTAAACCATGTTTTTGGGGTCTTTTAGATTTTTCTGCGACATGGTTGACAGCGGCACCTTGGATGCATTTTCTTTTGTTTTTAGGTACTGGTGAATATTGAAATTGCTCCTCTTTTGTCAGTGGGATACAAAACTGCTTTTTTCCATTTTTGCCCCGCTTTCATACGGTTTTATATATTACCTAATGCGTGACAGACCCAAAGCATAGTCAGCTTCCAACCTTACCTATCCTACCCAATTTTTAATTATGAATATCAAACATATAGAAGTTGATTATTAGTTCTTAGAAAGGTATATTTTTGTGACATTCCCCTTATTATGCTCTAAATTTCATCCGTGATTGGGGAACAGCTCTTCCTGTCATAGGCCTGAGATCAAGTTTAACTTATCTGTCCTTTCTTTGTTCCCACATGCGCCCGCCCCCATTTGGGAAGCATAAACAAACTATGTTAGTACTGTAATGCTATATGCATGGTTTCCTTTTCTTGATATATATATGTTGCTGTATTTTGAGGAATACTTTGGTTTTTTATCCAATGCTTTTTGAAATTTGTACAATGACTTTTTAATGAACAATGACTCATAGAAACGCCATCTACTCTCTCAATGAGATTTTTAGGACTAATGATCGGGGCTAGGCGTTAAGCATAAAAGTAGACAGACCATATGCAGCTCTCTTTACATTATTAAAGAAAATGATAAAAGCAAACAAACAAAATCTTTATCTTGACCAGAACAAATGGAGAGCCTTGGGGTACTCTTGATAGGTATGATCTTTG